CCTCCTCCTCTTCCTCCTCCTCCTCCTCTTCCTCAGCTGCCGGCAGCCCCTCCCCCACCCGCCACAAACGGGGGGAGACGCCCCCAAAAAATTCCCAAAAAATCCCAAAAAATTCCCAAAAAATCCCCAAAAATTCCCAAAAAAATTCCCGAAAAATTCCCAAAAAATTCCCAAAAAATTCCCAAAAAAATTCCCCAAAAATCCCAAAAAATTCCCAAAAAATTCCCAAAAAAATTCCCAAAAAATCCCCAAAAATTCCCAAAAATTCCCGAAAAATACAAAAAAATTCCCGAAAAAATTCCCAAAAAATCCCCCAAAATTCCAAAAAAATTCCCAAAAAATCTCAAAAAATTCCCAAAAAATTCCCCGAAAAATTCCCAAAAATTCTGAAAAAAATTCCCAAAAATTCCCCACAAAATTCCCCCCAAAATTCCCAAAATTCCCGGGAAAAATTTGGGGTTTTTTTTTTCTCCAAAAAAATGGGAAAATTTTGGGATTTTTTTTGTCCCCCAAAAAACCCCAAAATTGGGAAAATCTGGGGCCCCTCCCCCAATAAAGGAAAAACTCTGGAATTTTGGGCTCTCGGCTCTTTGTTTTTTGGGTGGAAAAATCCAAATTTTGGGGGTCCTGGCTTCGGTTTTGGGGGGAAAAAACGGGAATTTGGGAGGGAAAATTGGATTTTGGGGGAATTTTGGGAATTTTTTGGGATTTTTGGGGGGAGTTGGGGGAATTTTGGGGGATTTTGGGGAAATTTTGGGGGGATTCTGGTGGAATTTGGGGAATTTTGGGAGATTTTGGTGGAATTTGGGGAATTTTGGGGGGCTCTGGGAGGAATTTTGGGGGAATTTTGGGGGAATTTTGGGGGATTTGGGGAAATTTTGGGGAATTTTGGGAGATTTTGGGGAATTTGGGGAGATTTTGGGAGATTTGGGAGGATTTTGGGAGATTTTGTGGGAATTTTGTGGGAATTTGGGGGATTTGGGGAGATTTTGGGGGAATTTTGGGGAATTTTGGGAGATTTTGGGGAATTTGGGGAGATTTTGGGAGATTTGGGAGGATTTTGGGAGATTTTGTGGGAATTTTGTGGGAATTTGGGGGATTTGGGGAGATTTTGGGGGAATTTTGGGGAATTTTGGGAGATTTTGGGGGAACAACCTCAAAAAAAGACCCCCACGGAACATTCCAGAAAAAAACCCTTTAATGCCCCCGACACCAAGCCGGGACCTCCTCAGGTCTTCTCCTGGAGCTGGTGGGACCTCAGACGTTCTCCTGGAGATGGTGGAACCTCCTCAGACGTTCTCCTGGAGATGGTGGAACCTCCTCAGACGTTCTCCTGGAGATGGTGGAACCTCCTCAGACGTTCTCCACGTTCTCCTGGAGATGGTGGAACCTCCTCAGACGTTCTCCACGTTCTCCTGGAGGTGGTCGGGACCTCCTCAGGTGTCCTCCATGGTCTCCTGGATCCAGCGGGCGTAGCGACACACCTTGGTGTAGACGCCGGGACGCCGGGGTTGTCCACAACGCTCCATCCCCCAGGAGACGATGCCCTGGAGGTTCCCGTCGCACACCAGGGGGCCGCCGGAATCGCCCTGGGGGGTGGAGGAGATGTGGGGTGGGGGGGGGTGAGGGTTGGTGGATCTCCAAGGGGGTTGGGACAACCAAGACCTCGGTGGGTTGGTCAAACTCATGGTGGATCTCCATGGGTTGGTGAAACTCATGGTGGATCTCCATGGGGTTGGTGAAACCCATGGTGGATCTCCATGGGGTTGGTGAAACTCATGGTGGATCTCCATGGGGTTGGTGAAACTCATGGTGGATCTCCATGGGGTTGCTCAAACCCTTGGTGGACCCTGTTGGGTTTGGTGACCTCCATGGGTTGGGTCAACCAAGACCTCCTTGGGTTGGTCAAACTCGTGGTGGATCTCCAGGGATTGGTGAAACCCTTGGTGGATCTTCAGGGGTTTGGGTCAACCAAACTCTTGGTGGATCTCCATGGGGTTGGTGAAACCCTTGGTGGACCTCCACAGGTTGGGTCAACTAAACCCTTGGTGGGTTGGTGAAACCCTTGGTGGATCTCCATGGGTTGGGGTCAACCAAACCCTTGGTGGATCTCCAGGGGTTTGGGACAACCAAGACCTCGTTGGGTTGGCCAAACTCATGGTGGATCTCATTGGGTTGGTGAAACCCTTGGTGGGATGGTGAAACCCTTGGTGGACCTCCATGGGTTGGTCCAACTCATGGTGGATCTCCATGGGGTTGAGTGACCTCCATGGGGTGGTGAAACCCTTGGTGGATCTCCATGGGTTGGCGAAACTCATGGTGGGATGGTCAAACTCATGGTGGATCTCCACGGGTTGAGTGACCTCCATGGGTTGGGTCAACCAAACCCTCGTTGGGTTGGTGGAACTCATGGTGGATCTCCATGGGGTTGTTCAAACCCTTGGTGGATCTCCATGAGGTTGGTGAAACCCTTGGTGGATCTCCAGGGGTTTGGGTCAACCAAACCCTTGGTGGATCTCCATGGGTTGGGTCAACCAAGACCTCGTTGGGTTGGTGAAACTCATGGTGGATCTCCATGAGGTTGGTGAAACCCTTGGTGGATCTCCAGGGGTTTGGGGCAACCAAGACCTCGTTGGGTTGGTGAAACTCATGGTGGATCTCCATGAGGTTGGTGAAACCCTTGGTGGATCTCCATGGGTTGGGTCAACCAAGACCTCGTTGGGTTGGCCAAACTCATGGTGGATCTCCATGGGTTGGTGAAACCCTTGGTGGATCTCCATGGGTTGAGTGACCTCCATGGGTTGGGTCACCCAAGCCCTTGGTGGGATGATCAAACTCATGGTGGATCTCCTTAGATCGGTTGAACTCTTGGTGGATCTCCATGGGGTTGGTGAAACCCTCGGTGGATCTCCGGGGGGTGGGGTCAACCAAACTCTTGGTGGGATGAGTGTCCCCAGGTGTCCCCAGGTGTCCCCAGGTGTCCCCAGGTGTCCCCAGGTGTATCTCCAGGTACCTGACATGAGTCCATGCCCCCTCGCACGTTCCCGGCGCAGATCATGTTGTCCGTGATGGAGCCGGGGTAGAAACGGCGACACTCGGCCGGCGAGAAGAGCGTGACGTTGACGCACTGCAGGACCTCGGGGTACGTCACTGGGGACAGAGTGACCACTGAGTGACCACTGAGTCACCACTGAGTGACCACCAGAGTGACCACCAGAGTGACCACAGTGACCACTGAGAACAGTGGGACCACCACAGTGACCACTGGGACCACCAGAGTGACCACTGAGAACATTGGGACCACCACAGTGACCACTGGGACCACCACAGTGACCACTGAGTGACCACAGTGACCACCAGAGTGACCACAGTGACCACTGGGACCACCACAGTGACCACCACAGTGACCAGAGTGACCACCACAGTGACCACTGGGACCACTCGGACCACGACAGTGACCACTGAGAACATTGGGACCACCAGAGTGACCACAGTGACCACAGAAACCACCACGGTGACTACTGGGACCACCACAGTGACCACAGTGACCACTGAGAACATTGGGACCACCACAGTGACCAGCAGGACACACAGGTAACCACCAGAGGTCCAAAGTAACCATGAAAGGTGGCCCAGGTGACCACAAGATGACCCAACTGACCATGAAATGACCACCAGAAGACCCAACTGACCAGGAGATGACCACCAGAAGACCCAACTGACCATGAAACGACCACCAGGAGACCCAACTGACCACAAGGTGACCCAACTGATCACCAGAAGACCCAACTGATCACCAGAAGACCCAACTGACCACCAGAAGACCCAACTGACCACAAGATGACCTCGAGATGACCCAACTGACCACCAGGAGACCTAACTGACCATGAAACGACCACCAGAAGACCCAACTGACCACCAGAAGACCCAACTGACCACAAGATGACCACAAGATGACC